TTGCATAAAGAGAGAGTTCTGAGATATACACAATGGTTCTTTTCATATACATCACAGTGACCTAAAGTAGGGCCCATCCAACAGTGCTGCTGCCTTCAGAAACTGTTTTAAGACCTGCAGAGTCTGAAGGGATAAAACTACATTAATACTAAATGTTTTCCTAGGGCTTTCCCATCCTCCTTTTCTTGGCCCTCCCATCTTGGTGGTTCCATGTGCTTTGCAGTCACTAATTAACAAGTCCCACCTTGGCATAAATATCCCTATTACCAGCCTTATTTTCAGGTGAGGACAATGAGGTAGAAAGGATGAATATAAAGTCCAAATTCTTGAAGGCAGGTGAAGACACTGTCTCCTTTCCTCTGGAAATCCAGATTTAGGCACCTGTATGGAAAAAACTTGCAAGTATAGGTAAGCAAACTTAATTTTCTTTATCACTGTTTAAGCCTTTTGAAAGTGGTTTTCAGTAGCAGAGAGCAGCCAACATCATTTGAATCTGCTGGTATTCAGCATTTCAGGAAGCCTGGAGGGCACCCAGAGCTCTCCTGTCCTCAAGCAAAGGAATATAATTTCCTTATCACACTTTCAACTGTGACTTTCCTCTAAAAATTAAAAATAGCTTTAAATCCCTTTGTGGTTTTGTGGTTCTCTGATACTGCAAATCTGCACATATCCACACAAGCAGCTTTTGAGAAAATCACCCAGTTGTTGTACTTTGTCATGTGAGGAGCTGTACAAACCTGAAGCAGAAAGGGCATTGCCCCACAGAATCTGGGGATGTGCATAGAGAGAGGATGTAATACAACATCCTCCAAATGCTCAGGGTAATTATATACACAATTTTAGAGTGCTACTTTCATCCTTATTTTTGATGTTTTGTCTATAATTCTTTCCTGGTTTAGAGACACATATTTAGTATTTAACAGAAACTTTTGGGTTTATTCACTTGTAATTTGCAAAACGTTTTGTGTGCTGTGGTTTCTTTTTAAACTCTGCCAGTCTGTGAACATCTGTGACAAATGCAGAAGTCCAAAACACTATAATAGATTAGCCCTTCCAAAATAAACTTCCTCCTGCTTTTCAGTAGGGAGACAAACTCCTGTTTTCATGTTTCACAAAAGAGATATCAGGAGTTCAGAAAACCCAGCCAAAACCCACATTTGTAGTCTGCTACACGGTGATGCCTCAGTCTTGACAGGCTGACAAGGATTCAGAGCAGGGGCATGCAAATAATTAAACAGCTGAAGGGTTAATTTCTGCACCATCATGAAACAAATCACCAAAAAATGAAGCTTTAGATGTGACCTGATGATAAGCACTTTATAGAACCCCTGGGTCTGCAGCCTGCAGGCTTTATTCCCTTGATCAGTGGAGAGTGTCACTGACATATGAGAGTGTGGAGCCTGAGTGAGAACAGAGAGCAGCTTTAACTGCAAGGTGCTTTGTTCACCTGAAAAATATAACACAGACAAAATAGCAAACATGTAGAGCTATTCATATATGTGCAACAGCCAGGAGAAGGATAGGCCCTGGGAGAGGAAAGGGGATGAGGAGAGCACAGTGTTTCTTTTAGTGCAAAAAGGGATTCTCTCTTTTATTAGCTTGAGTCTACAGAGATCTTTCGAACAGGTGGAACTAGCTGAGATTATTACTGGATTAAGCTCTCCTGCTGTTAAAAGCTGTTTTGTGTACTAACTACCAAAAGGAGCAGCAGGAGAGCAATTTTTTATCTGCTGTGGTGATTCTGATTTCTTTTTAGTTAATGTCTGTTGAAGCCAAGCCAAGTCTGTGACTTCACACCTGTGATTTGTAACGGATGCAATAGTATTCCCATGACATATCACAACTCCTGAATGTGTTAGGTTACAGCTCCAGAGGTGCTGGAATCAGGAAGTAGATAATGGTAATGAAGGTCAGATTAACTGAGTGATTACACATCTGAAAACATTTTAAAACTGTCATTTTTAATTTGATAAATGAAAACAACTTTTCTGTAATATCATCATAGAAGGAAGGACAGAAACAGGGGATAAGGGCTTTGAAATGCCTAGAAAATGCAAGTGCTGCTGAAAATCTTTTAAAATTAAAGCCAGGAATACAAAACCTTTATTGGTTTCCCACTGAGTTTCAGTTGTTACATCTGAGGTTTTGACCAGCACACCAAAATTTCAACCAATCACAAGCTGTTTATTTCCTACCAAACGTTATATTAAATACTAAATCAAAGAACTGTTTGCTCACTAAGAGAGGAGTTGCACTAATATCAGCTGCCCACTGCTATTTTCTCTGGAATGGCTCCACAGGACAGTGGAGTTATGTGAGGGTTGTACTTAGACCAGCCTGACCAAAGAAACACCACAAAGGCAACTCCTGAATCTCTGGGAACAAGAGGAATGCTACTTGTTTCACATCCCTGAGACACGATGAACAGCACAGGGACTTAGGACAGAGCTTAGCTGTGATTCTGGCAGGGCATTCCCAAGGTGGAAACCCAAAGAAGAAAGCAAGAGGGTTCTGACAGTCCAATCTGGCAGTGAAGGACCACTCCTGAATGTCATTTCTCAGGACTTGCTCCTGAAAATAGACTGTATTGAACAGGAGTTTGCCACCAGAAACCTCCTTTTAAAATTCTTAGCCATTCATGCAATATTCTTATTACTTTCCCATTAAGCATTATGTCCCCAAAATAACAGTGTGGATATATTATGCCCATACACGAGGGACTATATGATAAAGGTATTTTTAATGTCAGGTAAAAAAAAAAAGAAGTATTCACGTTGAGAATTACGCTGATGAGTGAACTCTTCTTGGAATCATTTAATGGAGAAATCCCTTACTAATGTCCTGAGGGAACTGCTGACAGTGTGCAGTAATTTCTGGTTCAGTGCAGCAGATTACAAGATATCTTGCATTTTATGAAACTCAGGCAAGTGCCTCCTTGGCACTCCCAGGTCCATCTGTGAGCTCCCTGGTGTGCACCCAGAAATTAAAGGGCCTGCAACACTCCCTTTTTTAGCTGCAGTAGATAGTTGTGGCTGAAAGATCACTGAGGTACTCTGTGACCTTCTGCTTTCCCTGCCTTCTACTCCCCAAAGTCCATCTTCTCCAATTATGTAGTGTTTTTTAAATTCCCCTTTGAAGTGAAACACAGTTATTTCCAGAATAAGTGGTGGAGAGTAAGGTTCATGAGAATGTGTGTGGTCTTCAGATGAAGCTCTTTCACCTTTAGCATTCCTCCCACTGCTACCTGCTTTATAAAGCTAGTTCTATTGTTTTACCTTTATTCTGCTCATTACTGCAGTGTCATCTTTACCACATGTAAATACTGGCGTTCAGTGAGAATTTCATCCAGCTTTTATGAAGTTCCTAAGACCAGGGAGATTTTTCCCCTAACTCCAGCCATGCCCCTGTGATTCTGGACCCCATTGAGCAGCCTTGGTCTTCCTGACCCTCTTAGGAATGTTGTCTCTCCCAGAACATTTAATAGCAGTCACTGGGGTAATGAATCTACATGCAAGCACCAGAGCAAAGGTGGAGTAAGTCATTCCTAAGATGTGAAACGACAAATAAAAGAGCTCTGGGAGAGCTGCTGGAGCACAGGGGAAGAACAAAGCCTCTGGCAATACTCCCCTAGCCTGTCCATAGTACGAAGAACTCATCCAAATTTTTCACACAGAGATACTGAACCCCAGCCTAGGATTTTAGACAATTTGCAAAGGCTTTTAAAAGCATCGAGCAGAGAGCATGAATTTTTTTGTTTTGTAGGAATATTATGTGTTTCATTACATGAGGGCACTGACAAACACGTTATTTAGCAGATTAGCACTTCTGGTTTTATTTTTCAAAAGGAGGAATTCATAGCCCTTGGCTGTACAGTTTACAAGCTGGTTTTGCCCAGGGATGCTCAGTGTAACAGAGGCTGCTCCACAGTTCCTAAAGCTGGAAGCTAAGAAAAACAACACGTTGCTTCTGAGGTCTTTAGTTACTGATTACCAGCAAAGCCTCATAAAGCACAGTTCTCATCTCATATGACCCAAGAACTGCACATTCTTCTCCCACCACAGTCTCTGCTGAGGTAAAATAACTGGAAATAGAAGCTTATGTTCCATGTGCCACCTGGATCACAAGATCCTGTGAAAGCTAGAATGCGAAAAATAGGACTTGTTTAAAGGTTAACCTTTATTACAAAACAAAGGAGGAAAGATTTTCACAAAGTTTCTTTACTCATCAGTTCAGTACGAGTTTTGTCACCTCACTGTTCCCTGCCTCGTAACCTTCTCTAATGAGGTGGGTACAAATTAGGAGTTGGCAGGAAATTGCTTAGCAAGCACTCAGAAATCATATGATAACATTTGCATGAGTCAAGAACATTTTCAGACTGCAGTGATACAATGCTGATAGCTGCTCACTCATGCAGAGGAAGGCAAGGTCTGAGCTCACAGGTCCTTGCACTCACACCTCAGTCCATCCATACCCAGCTGCAGAAGGCAGACATATATATCTGCCTGCAATTCTGGTGTGCATTTACAGCTGTTAGCTCATCACATATATGCAGGTTCACATCAGTACAGCTGAGAGGAGCAAAGGAGGTGAGGATGAAGGCCTTCGTTGCCTACAGCAAGTATTTGCCTTTGCTCTGAGCTCTGCAGGTTCATTCCCTTCTTGCCTTGCGCTGTGCACTGTGCCCTTTGCCATGGCTTCTGTTGAGAAGAGGAATTCTCTGGCTTGTAGAGACCTTCGTGGAGTTAGCTGAGTACAGATTCGTCACTGGAGAGCAATGAGCAATAGTTCATAGACTCAAGATAGCACTTCTGTGAACTGCCACTTCCCAGATGAGCTGTAGACAGGCTGCACTTCACTTCAAACAGTTTCAATCTCAGGCAAATCCAGCATCAGTCAGAAGTGGTTCTGAGTTCATCCTATATGACATGGAAGCACAAAAAAGCACTGGGATTGAAGCTGTCCTGTTTGGTGTTCATTTGCCCACTGTTTCCCTTGTTAAGGAGGAGAGCCAGAGATGGATGACTGCCTGGAGGCACTGAAAGATGAAGAGGAAGCTTTGTGGGAGAACGTGGAATGCAACCGGCACATGCTGAGCCGGTACATCAACCCAGCCAAACTCACCCCCTACTTACGGCAGTGCAAAGTGATCGATGAGCAGGACGAAGATGAGGTGCTCAACTCACTCATGCTGCCCTCCAAAATTAACAGAGCAGGTAATCACTTTGTGAATGGCTACATCTGCATCCCTGTCTCCTTGCTGAGCCTGCAGGGAGCCTGTATCAAGTTAGAGCTTATCAAATGGAAACTCTGTATCTTATTTACAGGAGATATAATGTACAGGGATTCTGCTGATGCTATTTTGGTAACACAGACTCTTTCCAGTGCTGTGCAGACTGGAGCTTGTGGGGTTCAAATTCCCATCAAAGCCTTGGCAAATATTTCAGTTAAGAGAAGCAGCAGCCAGTGACATTCCAGGAGTAGCTTTTCAGCTGTCCTTGTGATTTGTCATGAAGGATCTGCCATCCTTACCTGATAAAGGCTGCACTGAATAATGAGTCTTTTGAAATTTCTGTTCCAGAGACCAATTTGCCCAC